GGATTTATAGAAATGTTGGCCAACTGAAAAGTATGAACATGAAAAGTATGAGCATGTACAGCACTCAGTATTTAGTTGGGCCTCCTTTGGCCTGTATTACTGCAGCAATGCGGCGTGGCATGGAGTCGATCAGTCTGTGGCACTGCTCAGGTGTTATGATAGCCCAGGTTGCTCTAATAGTGGCTTTTAGCTCTTCTGAATTGTTGGGTCTGGTGTATTGCATCTTCTTCTTCACAATACCCCATAGATTTTCTATGGGGTTAAGGTCAGGAGAGTTTGCTGGCCAATTAAGAACAGGGATACCATGGTCCTTCAACCAGGTACTGGTAGCTTTGGCACTGTGTGCAGGTGCCAAGTCCTGTTGGAAAATGAAATCTGCATCTCCAAAAAGTTGGTCAGCTGCAGGAAGCATGAAGTGCTCTAAAACTTCCTGGTATGTGGCTGCGTTGACCCTGGACCTCAGAAAACACAATGGACCAACACCAGCAGATGACATGGCACCCCAAACCATCACTGACTGTGGAAACTTTACACTGGACTTCAAGCAACGTGGATGAAGTGCCTCTCTTCTTTTCCTCCAGACTCTGGGACCTTGATTTCCAAAGGAAATGCAAAATTTACTTTCATCAGAGAACATGACTTTGGACCACTCACCAGCAGTCCAGTCCTGTTTCTCTTTAGACGCTTCTGACGCTGTCTGTGGTTCAAGAGTGGCTTGACACAAGGAATGCGACAGCAGAAACCCATGTCTTTCATACGTCTGTGTGTGGTGGTTCTTGAAGCACTCACTCCAGCTGCAGTCCACTCTTTGTGAATCTCCCCCACATTTTTGAAGGGGTTTTGTTTCACAATCCTCTCCAGGGTGCGGTTATCTCTCTTGCTTGTACACTTTTTTCGACCACATCTTTTCCTTCCCTTCGCCTCTCTATTAATGTGCTTGGACACTGAGCTCTGTGAACAGCCAGCCTCTTTAGCGATGACCTTTTGTGTCTTGCCCTCCTTGTGCAAGGTGTCGATGGTCGTCTTTTGGACAACTGTCAAGTCAGCAGTCTTCCCCATGATTGTGTAGCCTATAGAACTAGACTGAAAGACCATTTAAAGGCTTTTGCAGGTGGTTTGAGTTAATTAGCTGATTAGAGTGTGGCACCAGGGGCCATCAATTTTGAACCTTTTCACAATATTCTAATTTTCTGATATGATGAATTTGAGATTTTCATTTGTTGTCATTTGTAATCATCAAAATTAAACAAAATAAACATCTGAAATATATGAGTTTGTATGTAATGTATGAATATAATATACAAGTTTCACTTTTTAAATGGAATTACTGAAATCAATCTACTTTTTCATGATATTCTAATTTTATGACCAGCACCTGTAAGAGTTTGGGAGTTTGAGGTACATCCGTTTTTGGCATTTAATAAATCATATTTAGTTATTTTAACACAATTTTTTTATGTTAGCAGGGTAGGACATAAAAAAAAATGTGTTTAAGTAACTAAATATGACTAAGTAAATGCGAAAAACTGAAAAAGAAAATTAACACGGGTTGGCTGGACAAAAGGAACGAAAGGTTACTTACCAGGTGAACTCCAGCTAGCCACAATGGGAGTTGAGGTGCAAAATGTTGTGCCAACAGGGAAAGTTGGCTTTCCCGCATTTAACAACAAAGAGATAAGAGTTCGCAGAACTCTTGTCCCTTGTATTGAACTCCCACTTAAAGATTTAAGTATTACTAACTGACCTAACTGTTTTACACAACTTTCTTGCTTTGTTGTGCTAACACATTTTATTGCCTCAAAGGACAATCATTTCTTTTTTCAAGTTTAACCAACTTAAACTAACACTTGTTTTCTTTTACCCAACCCTGTTTAGTTTGGGGCTAAACAAATGAAAACAATTGTGTTGGACTATGACAGCAGAACTTTTTCGTCCCTTTGTTCAACATTGTCAAAAATATCTCCAAATTGCTTATGGGTGGGAAAGTTTAATTCATAAAAAGGAGCGGTTTGTCTAGATAAAATAAGAGCATTGTAATGATCACAGAACATTGGAACCAATATACAAGGCGAGATGGGAAAGTTCAAAGTGTTTATTAAACTACAGACAGAACAGTGGGAATACACTGTGCGATTTTTTTTTCTTTTGGGACGATTCTTCAGTCGTGCAAGAATTTTTTCAATCGGGCCGAGTTTCAGCCTCATGGTGCGTCCTGCGTCGTGTAGTATACAGGGGGCAATGAGGGGCGATCAGCCTCTCACGACCACCTCCCGATCAGGAATCGTAAGGTCGGGAGAAAATCAAACGTTTGAAATTCAGGCAGCCGTAGTGACGTGTTCATGGACAAATCCTGCTGTTAAAGCTGAGCTATGAGCCAATTTAGCAGAAACTTAAGTACAGACATGTGCAAACAAGGGAGTTCTTCTTCCAGACTGACAAGTCCAATCAGCGCCATCTTTTGGTGCTCAGTCTAACGTGGTTTTTCGATGTACAGTGTGAGCAGGTAGGTCACATCAGAGCGTCGGTTCACACAGTGTGAGAACATACATGGTGAGCTGTGAAGTTTGAGCTGTCGCTCCGTTCAACTATTGAAAATATCGCACAGTGTATGCCTGGCTTTAGGCGGATTCACTGGATACTCTGTAGAGATAGAAACTCAGGGTGGTGACTTTGAATCTAAGACGGGCCACAACTATGAGCATTAGTAACCAGCCTGGTTCTGAGTTCAGTCCGATCCCAGAAGATGGAGCAGAATCCAAGCGGGAGGTTTCTCCTCAGCCTGGAGCGGGTGCCGCCCTTAGAGCTCAGAGTGAATGTGCAGAGCAAACTAATGAGCGAGCGCTAGCCGACGCCGAAGAGCAGCAGTATCCGTGAGGAGAAGTTCAAAGCCGGAGTCAGAAGACAGGTCCAAGTTCGATAAACCAGGGATCAGACTAAAGCCGGGCATACACTGTATGATTTTTCATACGTTGCACACAGCTCCAGCTCACAATGTACAACGAACCCAAAGGGTTTAAAAGTTTACAGCTCACGACACTCTGATGCAATCTACCTGCTCACACTGCACGTCTTTAAACTATGTGGGACTCAGCTCCGCAGTGAGATGGCACTACTCGGACCAGTCTATCTGGAAGCCAAACGAGTAGAAGAGGAATATGAAGCTCACTAGAGTGAAACGCCCTGCCGTGGAAATTTGGGCAATTTTGTGCTGAAAGCTTTAAAAAGAAAAGGCGACGTATTTGGACAAAGACATGGCTGAGCAAACGTGGCTACTAAGGTCTGTCAATTTTACAGAGAGAACTGCTTTTCACTCGTACCCAGCCATGCTTCTGTGTTTTCATCTGAGAGGAAGAAGAAGAGTCCTTGTTTGCCCACTGAACAATTTGCACCTTACGACGGCCGACTGAATTTCAAACATGTTTGATTTTCTCCCGACCTTACAATTACTAAACGGGACGTAATCGTGAGAGGCTGATTGCCCCTCGTTACTCCCTGTATGCTACACGATGCATGATCAGGCCTGAAAAGGGCAAAAAAATCAAATAGTGTATGCCCAGCTTAACAGAGATCAGATGAAACTTTCATGAAAAACAGGCCAAATTACACCCTGAATGGAATAAACAATAAAGCGCCAAGACTATGACAAGCATGCAATAATTTATTAAATTTAGTTATTTAGATTATTTGTTGGAGAGGGTTAGATTAACAAGTCCTAACAAGTTTTTAGAGATATAAACGTTTTTTTAATAAAAGGCTTGCCTAATTTAATAAATGGATTAAATTAATATTTTGGTGCACAAATGTCAGCAGAGTAATGGTTTAGATTAGATTTTAGCTTGTGTATAATAATTTCACACTAATTAAAAATGGAAATGTCTCCCTCTGCCTTAACAAATCATTTTGGAATCTCTGAGCAGAATCAGTTCAGCTGCTGCACACGTCGGACACAACTGGTCGATCACATGGAAAGCAACAAGCCTCCAGTTTCTGGTTGTTGTAATGTGATAAAATGAGAAGGAAGGGTGAGCCAAAAGAGCATGTGTTGCTTTTGTGTTTTCCTAACATAATGGCCAAATAAAAGACTCTAATCTATTAGATCAGTTGATCTGTTTAGGTTAAAATGAGAAGAAACTGTTCTGATTGGCAAAAAGAAAGAAATATAAGACATGGGCCACATCTGACCAAAGGATGTCCTTGTAAATTTCTAATCAAGGGATAGCTGTGGCAATGACTCTATCAGTTGTTGATATGTTGCCTCGTTAGAGCCACTCTGACATGCGTTGTTCAACCTTTTTTTTCCTTTTCTGGAAACTGCATTGGTGTGACAATCCTCTATGTCCTCACAACAACTCTGTGGATGTTTCAGTCTCAAACTTTGGCTGTCAGGAAAGCGTTAAAAAAATTAGAGATATCCAGATCCCAGTCATCCTAAACTTTAATTCTGGTTACAACTTTGCCTTTTTCAAGTAGATTCCACACATTAAATCTAATTCATTTTTAGTTTATTTCTGTATCGCCAATTCAAAACACATTTCATCTCAATTCCCATTATAGCAACAATTCAAAAGACAATATGCACTATTCTGTCTAGTACACCCTCGGCTGGATTGCAACTTATTCAATGTAAAGTATTTTGCAGAGTTCATTATTCTGTCAAAAGTTTTCCCAGAGAGTGTGATGAGAGCACGGCCGCTGGAAATGCTTTTGTTATATTTTTATTACGGTTTTCAGTCTTGTAAAGACATTAGAAATAATAATAAGAAATATGGTTATGTGAATCAATCAGATTAACTAAACTGAATAAAGTCATAAAGCTTTATTCTTTTTTTTTTTTCTAAATTAAAACGACTACGGTGAGCGTTTGTTTACAGGGGAGGTCCAGTTCCCAGTCAATGGGACGGAGGGCTGCTCCCTCAACAAATCAGATGATAGGATCACCGGAAAAGGCGCTGTGAAGGGCGGGACCTAACGCTCTAACAGCCAATGAGCGATGAGCATCCTCTGAGCAAAGACAAGTTGGCAGCCAGGGTTCAGCATTCTGCTCCGTAGCCACGATGAACGCAGTACCAGGTCTGCTACTGCTGGTTCTGATCTTTGGGACAAGGTTACAAGAAAATGACGGTAAGCATCATTCCGTGGATGTTTAGAGGCGGTTTTTATTTCTTCTTTTGCTCTTAGCTCCGTTAGGAAGCTCTTTGTTGAAGAAGCACGTAAAGAGAAGAGTGTGTGTAACTAAGATGGCGCAGGGTCTGCGGTCAGCCTGCTGCCGCCTGTCTGGAGAATGTTTATTGTCTGGCTGTGGGGGAAAAACAATGCAAATAAAAAACAACAACAAGGAACGAAACAAAGAGGCTGTGAGATTGAAGGAGTGTTTGAGCTGAAGGCTTTTAGCTGAGCAGATAACGGTCCATTAGTCCGCAGAGAGCGGAGCTGCTGTTTATCGCAGTTTTAGCTGAAAGGAAGAAAAGTTTCTAACGAAATCTTTTCAAAATAATTATCAGTTTCATTGTCTTTGTGGTTTGGAGGCCGGTACAGTGTGTGATTCTGTGTGAGCAGGCAGTTTGTTATAAAGCGACTTGTTTTAAATCTAAGGCATTATGTTGGTTTTGGACAAAGGTCAAAGTGCACAACCCCCCCTTTTGTGTTTTGAATTAGTATACAGCTGCGTTTTAAACGGCTATCACCATTATAGTGGATCAGTTCTAATAGTGATCCCCTGCAGGCCTGACTTTTAGCACTTTTATCACCTTTACTCACTTTGACCAAGCTGAAGTTAGTTTCTGATTCGGACTAGTCCCCATATTTAAGATCCGCCATAAAACTCTGTTTACATTTATAGTTAATAAGAATATTCCTTACTTGTGCACATTGATTATGTTTTTCATAAAACTCCTCTCTCTAAAATGCCATCAGACCCCCCCCCCCCCTTCAGTGTCCACCATATTGGATCAGTCCATTTGCTGCACATGTTCAGAAAGGTCCAAACAGACAGCAGCAAACCATTTGAAAACAAACGATGCAGAGAACAGTGTTGCCAACTTGGCACTTTAGTCGCTACTGCTGTCATGATTCATGCAGCTATTATTCCATCCAAATGAAAAATGGAGAACAGATAAGCAGATCATGGCTTGTCTACAGTGAAAAGAAGGACTGGGTTATTTACTTTGGCCTTTTTGGAAACACAGGGAGGAGCAATCAGCTAAGTGAGCTTAGTGCTTGGAAAAAATCTTTAGAGACAGCATGAAAAGTCAGCTGAGGACAAAACATAGAGAGGAAAACAACAAGAAAAGGGAGAAGAAGAGAGGGACAAAACCTAGAACAGATAATGGATGTCTATTCTATTAACATTTCTCTATCTTTATTAAGGGGACTGTTTATTTGCTGTCTTCTCAGTTCAGAGCCCCCCTGCCTGTCTTTGCCCAGGGCCCCAAATTCCCTGAATCCCCCCCTGGATACGATGGTTCAAAGTGTATAAATAATTGTGCAATAGTTTGTCAAATCATCTTGATTCAAGTGTTGCCTTCCCTGTCTGTTAGAGTCCTTGACCTTTTAGGCAGGAGCTGAACTCTAACTAACTCTAGAAATCGAGCGTCTCTGGTTGAAAGCAGCTTCCAGTGTAAACACACATCTTCTCCAACATCTGTTTTTATTTGACATGTTTTAAATAATGTAATTTATCTATAAACCGAGTCGCGCCCTCTCCAAGTATTTTAGATTTTGAGCTAAAACAGAGTAAACTATTAAGCAACCAAAAGCACACTATCAGTAGCTGCGATTCAGACGCTCGCTTCAACACCATTTTCCTATTTTCTGTGTTTTTGAACTGGAAGTAAAAGCACTGATATCCAAACTAGTCTTCATCTGTGTTGTGCTGCAGCCTCTTAATGTGTTGAAGGTGCTCTATAATCACAGCGGCTGGCTCTGAAGGAGGATGGGGGTTGAGGGATTAAGAAACCGGCTGAGTTTTCTCTAATTTAGTGGGAAAACGATGGAGCCTCTCTGTTATCTTGGATATACGTGACTGATATTAGATTTCCTTAAGAAGGCTGCATTTCTGCCCTTTCAGGGTTAGCCTCTGCTGGAGATGTGTTAAAATCTTTACATGCTGCTAACTGGATGTTTTTCCTTCTCTGAAACGGAAACATCATTGCTCAACAAAAAGTATTTCCTGTATTTCTTTCTTTCGTTTTGTACCTTTTCTTCTTTCCAATGGATTGGGAGGCTAAGGCGTTTTCTTTGTGTGACATTCCTTTGTGTGTAGAGAGAGAGAGAGAGAGTTTGGGAGGGCGAGAAAGCCTCACTGTGAGTGGAGGAGCCAGATTTTTTCTTCATGCATAACAATCCCCATTAAAAACACTGATGTCCTCATATACCCCGTTGCTGCTGCCGCATTCTCGCTGGATGTTAAATTGATATGTTGGTTTGTGGGACACACAAGACGGGAGGGAATTCCGCCTTCTTTTGTCCAGCAACAGGATTGTCATGGCAGGGGTCCGTGCTTTCACGCACAGAGCACAATCATTTCCATCTGAATAGAAAGCAATATAGTAGATGCATATGATCTCACCCAGGGACCCAAACAGGAATGGACTCTGTGCGTTTGGCTGTAATGTTGGTGATTAAAACTCTGGGCTTTGCCAGTGGATTGGAGCAGAGCGGGTCTCCTTTGATACCTCCACCGTCACTTTTCTGCTCAGCACCACACCCTGCAGCTTCCACGCTTGTGCAGCAGCAGCATGCATTGTCAGTGAAGTGTAGGCTCCAGCGTTTTCTGCTGGTTTCTTGTTCTATCAAGGGCGGTTTATATAAGTTGCCAATGGGATCTTCTCTGTTTCATGGTCGTCTGTGACTCATGTCTGCATACTTTGCTTTCACAGAACCGCAATCTTTCATTTCTTGATTAAAACCAATCTTCTCGCAGACAGATCTAGCTTCTATCAGATCCTCCTTCTGTGATATTGTCCTGGACTTTTCATAAATCTAGGATTGAAAGAAGTCTGTGAGGACAGTGGTGATCTGAAAATGAAACCCAAGTTGTTCTACGTGGCGTTCCTCCATGCAGCCTTTTTTCCTTGTTTTTCAGCCTCATTTGATTGTTTGCAGAATTCCTGACTCACTTTAAATGTTTTCTACTGTGTGCACCTGCACTGCACTTGTTTGCACACCATTAATTTAGCACCACTGCTTTGTTTGTGTCTTTGTTCAGATAAGGTCTGTAAGGGAAAAATGCTTAAAGGAAAAGTCCAGCCAGCGCGGAATAATCAATGGATCATTATTTATACCTAAAATGTATATGTTTGCAGTGATTTAATGAATTTAGCGTTAATCAGTTAAAAAATAAAAACAGCATTGCGATCAGTGAGTCTGGGAGCGGCCATTTTTGCCCAAATATAGTTACCCCTCCCTCCTGCCATCTTCCAGCAGTGACGTCGCGGTGCGGTTAGCCTAGCGCCATTCTCCCCGCTTTACAATCAATCAATGGGAACTACTAGACAACAATTATTATCTGCAATCAACAATTATTGAAGATTTCCAGAGGAATTCACCATTGAAATTCACCAGAGCTATAGTGAAACTGACAATGCCCACGTGCATGGCAGCTGGATGCTGGAATACATCGGGTAAAAGTGAAAAACAAAGAGTTATTCCACCTTTCTGATTCCTGATCCTCCATGGACGGGTTCCTCTTTGGATTGCCAACTTGAAGAGGGAGGATTTACCATCGAAGTGGAAAAAAATGTAACTTAAATGTTATACTTTTAAAATACTGCTTTAAACAACATTGTGGTCACATTTACAACTTAGACCAATTAAAATCAATAAATAACAAGGAAACCATTTTCTTTCCTCATGCTCCACCTGCTGCGTGTTAATCAAACACTTCAGCGATTGACTAACCTAGAACATAAAATAGTGTAAGATATTTACTTTATTTATTATGATAAACGACAAAGCCTGCTTTCCGTGCATCAGAAGTCTGGCTTCAGTGTTTTGGACCAGCTGAAAACTACTAACTACATTTTATGGATAATAAAGTTGATTCTACGCTGCAACAATTTTTCTTAAAATACGTGATTTTTACTTGAATTGAGGATGCTTTGCGCATGGAACAAGACAATTTACTAGTGATGGTTAATGAGGCATCTTGGAGCCAAACTATGTTGATACTGTCTCAGAATATTGACACCTGCTGGACAGTTAAAGACACTACAGGTAGCTTTTTAGACAGACTAAACTGAATTGATTTAATGACCTTGTAAGGATATAATTGAAGTTATTGTACATTATATTGTATTATTTCACATCTATTAATAAATAGAAAACATCTTTGGTGTTTTTAGATGCAGCCAGTAAATAATGTAAACATTTAGAAAAAAACATGAAAATTTAGGGGAAAATGTTGATGAGGATGCTTGTGGACTAGGATTTTGATCGCAAATTGATCACAATAATTAAAATAGCCTGCGCTTTGTAAAGCGAAAAAAGTGATAACATGCAACTTTTTTCAAAAGAAATTAACATGGCACGGAACCACCATGTTTGTTTGGTTTTAAAGTGGGGAAACGTTGCGTTAGTTTCTCAGGTAGCTCATCTGATGCTTTCCTTACCTTGTTAGTAGGTTACAGACAGTGATAAGGTTGGCTACTTATTTTACTTTTAATTTCATTTGAATTAACTTAAGCAGCGTTTACAATTACTTTATAAAGAAAATTAACTTGCAAATTATGAGGGCAAGGCTTTTAAAGTTTAAATCTTCTGGTGAAGATAAAGTAAAGAAGATCCTGCAATTTATGGAAGTAAAGCAGAATAAAATCCAGCAAGATCAGTAATATGTCAATTAATTATATGCCACATTCCCATGTACAGGTGCTGGTCATAAAATTAGAATATCATGAAAAAGTAGATTGATTTCAGTAATTCCATTTAAAAAGTGAAACTTGTATATTATATTCATACATTACATACAAACTCATATATTTCAGATGTTTATTTTGTTTAATTTTGATGATTACAAATGACAACAAATGAAAATCTCAAATTCATCATATCAGAAAATTAGAATATTACTGAAGACCAATAAAAACAAAGGATTTATAGAAATGTTGGCCAACTGAAAAGTA